TCTAAACGCATGTGGCCAACTGCGAATATATGAGACAACAACCCATCTGTATATGTTTACAGGGGTGATATGATATGACAAAGGTACAGGCGGCCTGTGTACAGGGTATGTAAACATCCTGTTATACGGGCCCATGATTTCGCGGTCTTTCGCAAGCTTTTGCGGCAGGGCCAGCTGAAGTAGTAAGGCATGTTGTCAGACATGTTGTCTGTTATCACATGTTAAAATTCTTGCTGGTCCGCAGGCCTCCAGACTTTGGATGGAAGATGCTGCGCACCAACGGCAGAGAGTTAGGTCGGTGAGTTCCCGATTGTGCTGCAGGCGTGCCGAGCAATCCCCTAGCAAGCGCGTTGTTCTGAAGCAACTGCGAAGCCACAAGTCAAAGTGTATGTCTCTATGCTAAGGCCCGGTGTTGGTAACACCGTGGCATAGTGTTTCGGAAGCTGAAGACCCAGAACTTCACGCAGCCAATGTTGAATTTCATTGAGGATTTTGCAAACTCCTCGAATGAAGTCCACCTGTTTCTGTAAGGTCAGAAACCTGATAGGGGCCAAATGCCTGAATGCAAGCACGCGATGCTTACGTGATGAAGACAACACCCGCCAGGCGCAGCGCAATTCGTGGAACTTCTGTTCAGCGTGCCCAACTGATAGAGAACACTCCTCTCTACTCTCTCTCTACTTTCTGTTTTCTCTCCTTGCCCCTCTCCTCTCTCTCTCTCTCTCTCTTTTTCCTTGCTCCCCTCTCTCTGCTTCTGCAGGTGTTGGGTTGAATGATGGCCCGGGTTGATCAGGGTCGACTAGGTCATGTTAGGGTGAAGCCCACAGCAATAGGCACACATGCATGGTCCTTGTACGGATCAGCTACATGACCGTGTTGTCCATTCCGAGGATACATGGGCAGCAGACAACATGGAGACATGCGATCTTTCTGCAAATACCAGAAGGCTGCGGTTTGGGCACCAGGGCTAGTACAGACGATTCAGCAAGCCTGGAAAGTATGGGTCTTGGATTTGGAGTCCAGTGTGTCGTTTGGACTCAAGATGCTTGAAGATTTGATTGTGCTTCTTCAATGGCTCCTTGAAGAAGCTGTGTCAATGTCTGCCAGAGAAGTTGCGATTGCAGTCTAATAAGCTGACCGCTGTTGAAGCTGCTTTTCGTAGGCATGTGGAGTGTGGTGCCTTGACGTGGAGGAACAGTTTTAGTGTTTGGCTTTCAAAGTCCTGTGTAGGAGCGTGGATACAGCGGGACTGCTGTAAACCGCGATTTTACTATAATCGTGAGGGAAAGTATGACCTGGTTGGAGTTTACACATACCCCAAGTTCTGGGAACAATCACACCATGCTCATTATTCATCACACATCTTTTTCATCATCATCATCACCATCATCTCATTCATTCTGCATCATTATCCTCACCTGACGCGTTTTATCAGAGGGGTTTCTGAGGTTTATCCTCAAATCACAAATCTTCAGTATAATGAGTAGTTTTTCATCATTTTTCATCACATTTCGTCACCGACCTGGTTTTATCATCATCTTTTTCAGGGATTTCCCAAATTCAGGGATTTCTGGGTAGTTTGGTGTTTCAATGTTTTATCAGCATTTATAATAAGTCAATTATAAATCTTGTCGTGGGATTTTTGTGGTTGAAGTTTAATTACTTCATCAAGTATGAAAATTTTGTAGTGTATTAAATGTATCATCTGCTCTAATTTAGCAACGTAAGGAATGTTCATCATTTCTTGAAACATCATCTGTTCCATTGTAGTCCAAAAAAATGCTTGAGGTCGGTTAACAAGTTTGCGTATGTTTCGCTAATTGCAAGAGTGTGTTTTTTCTTGTTCATGAGATTTGTTAATTGCAGCTTCAACTGCTTTTTCTTCTTTATCTGGAATGTCTTTCTTTTCTTGGTTAATTTTGAGCCCGGATCGATGTGAGAGTGCGTTTTTTCCATAAAATTTAGCCTTTATCAAGAATTAGTCAGAGCCAGATATAAACAAAAGATATGTGGAGACTTCTGCCCAAGCAGACTGCTCAACAACGCTTGGCATGCATTCCTCACCATGTTGTTCTTCCCATTGTTATCATTGTCAGTATTTCTACTATCATTGCGAATATTATGCTTACCACCACTTTGTTATTCTAATTACAGCAACTACTATTACCCTTACTCTTACTATTATTGCTTTGATTGCTATTCTTACTGTTAGTACTATTGTAACTATTCTTACCCCTATCACCATTGCTTCAGCTTTGCTACTATTACGGGTACCATCCTTACCATTCTTATTATCATTATGTCTTCAATAGTATTATTATTATTACTACTACTACTACTACGACTCATGCTATTACTACTTTTAAGATATCATTACCGTTGCTAACAAAATTAGTACTGTTACTTCTACTATTGCAATTATGGTTAATCATGCTACCAATATTATTATTATCATTATGAATATTATTCACAGTATAATTTTTATCATTATTATTTTCAGCACTATCATTACTCTTACTATTATCCTCATCATTATCATTATTATTTAGTATTACTACTAGAGATGAGATTGTCACGGGCCCATACATTTGACGTGTTGGCAAGACGAATGCCAAGGAGCAGGCCAAACATGCTTGCGCACATTCCTTTAGGAAAACACATCTGATTGTGAATGTCCCGTATAACTGCTGAATGCGTTGCAGATGTAAACAGGAATTCTGAAATCCTGCCCTCCTGGCCTCCTCATTCATCTATGTGTGATTTCTTTGCTAAACAAAATTTACTATGAATTTAAGTATTAGGTCTTGATTCTTGGGCTTCTTTCATGTCTTTCTAAGCCTCTTACTATGAATATTCTCATGGTCTCCAATAGATGTAAGGTTCTGAACAATTGCTAATTCCGGTTGAAAGTTAAAACACAATTGTTCAGATACTGCAAAAGGAAGAGCCCAAGACCTGAGAATTTCCTTTTAAGTTTCAAGTATATTTAGTGTAGAATTTATACCTAGTACATAAGGCGAAGAGGAACGCAGGATTTAAGAATTTATGCATAGAATTCGGAACACATGTAGTGAAGGATTTATATGATACATGATTTGAGAAGCCCATTCTAAAATTTGGGAACACAACATGTGAGAGGTTTATCCAACGTCAACCTACACAAACAAAGGACAATAAGCTCAGAACTTGCAATGTACTTTTTTATGTTGAGCATGTAAAAAAAGTTTTTGTAAGCGATACAAGGAGCCCATAACCAGAGAATTTTCCTGTACATTTGTAACCAGTCGTCTATTAAGGGTTTTGGCCCAGCATTTGATACTTCCTCCTTACAGTTGATACACATGTAGTAGTATTTCTGGTAACCCAATGAATATTACAAGTATTCCTCAGTCAGAAGAAACTTTCAGAATCTTTGGATAGTACAGCTATGCAGAGGAAAAAATTACAAAATGTCCCTCACCCACATCGTAGCAGATGAGATTCCTAGAATATTTTCCTTTGTGAAAGAGTGCAATAATTTTACAAAGCCCAAAGCAACTAACAACTCACTGATTAGGCCTCGACCCCGACTCTGTAAGTCATGAGCCTATCACGCACATCCAACGGCAGGCGGCTTCTCGTTCGACATATTCGATGGTTCCACGCAGGCCTGCGGATGAGGTTTGGTCGCCAGGGCTAGCTTTTCCATTGGACCAAAGGATCCTAAGGCCACTCAGGGTTTGACGGTGGTGTTGGCTGAGGGCTTAGGGAAGGGCTACCTCGGCCGGTTTGAGGGTGTACGCGTTATGGTTTAGGGCTCACGAACGCGCACGAGGGTTCAGGGCCTTCTCGGTTTAGGGCTGACCCAATTCCCACCATGCGCTTTCCCCCAATACAAGGGTACCTGGATCCCTTACGTCGGCCTCGACATACCCTTGTGCCGCCTCCCACACCCTGGGGGCCTCAATAATGGAAGGGTTGGCGATCGCACCGTACAAGCTAGCAAAATGCCGAGTTGATTAAAAAGCACACACATCAGACCGGATAGAGAATCGATGTGACACGCGGTGACACGTTCTGTGTTGTTTACAGCTACAGGAGTGACACGCGGCAACATGCAAGTGACACGCGGCGACATGCAAGTGACAAACGCCCGCTGTTTTCATTTTTCACACTCCCAACGCGCCAAACCCAGGTCCTAAACCCGAGCCCCTAGATCGAAACCCTCATCCGCTTAGCGCCCTACTCGGACCCTGAACTCGGACTGGATTCTTCAAAGTACATATACATGCTGGCCTGGTGTAGATGCATCAAATCTTCCACCTAGCCCTGCCGATCAGCAGATCATCGATGCTGTCGTCGTCACTTCCACTCTCATTTAAATTGTCCATATAATGGTTGTAAAGTCCGGACCGCGGCCGCTGCTCACTAGTACCAATTGACTGCGGGCATTTGCAAACCTGGCTTGGTCGACTCATAGGGTAGAGGTCAGGGTCTGTCGGGGTTTGATGCGTGGTTGGAGGGTTTACTGTTGATGGCAAGCTCAACACGTCGTGTCTAGATTCCGGCCAAGAAAAAAACTCGCGATAGCCATCCCGAATGAGCTCGTGTGGGATTACGTGTTGCGCAGGTCTTTCCCTTCTATACTAATGATAGTAACAACATACGAGTAAGAACAACAAGAATAACAATGCTAATAACAATAGGACAATAGTAGTTGTTATCCGTGGAGGTGCGCTCTTTCCAATGTGCCATAGCTGACATGACAACACAGCAGTGTGCCGGAAAATGAACACAAGAACGCGTTGCCACCTTGAAAGTTGACAGCAGTACTGCTACCAGGAATTCTGGGACCGCTTTTGGGCTTGCGACATGTGGCCGTAGTTGCATGACTATTAGTGGCGGTAGCAGGTGCATGGGTAGTCCATGTATTTTCAGGCTGCAAAAGATGCTTGCCAGCGCTTTTTTGAGGCTCATCGGGTGATTGTCCTTGCGCAAGCTATCTGCTAGCTAGTTTCGTCATGGAAACCGCCATTGCGAAGACCGTTGAGGCCGCAGAACAAACTCTTCGCAAATTCGCCCCGCAGGAAATGGATGTGACCCGCGATGCCTTTGAGATAGTCAGCTTCGTCCTACTTCACGAACATGACCAATGGCAAACCCACATCAAGGCGTTGAAGGGCCAAGATGCAGAAGAGCTACGTGTGCAGGCAGGCTTTCCGTAAGGTAGTGAAAGGGAAGGAACACGAATTCAACATGTAGAGGCACCCAAGTTTGTTTGTTCTCGAGCTCGGCGGAGGTGGATGGTGTGTACGTCAAGGTCAAGGACGGCGCTTTGCCCTCGGGCGCGGACTCCACCACGCTCGTGGACCTCATGCAAGTCAACGGGCTGAATCGCCCTCTCAACTATGCCAGGACAGCCTTGAATGGCATTCTGGCGGCACTTGATCCCATCTTGCGAGGCCGCACCGACTACGCCGCGTCCTACTACGTGCATCGGCAATGGCAGGCTGATAATCCCAGCCGGACAGAGGCCGCCGTCACCGGATCATTCGCGGAGCTTCCCCGAGAGGAGATGTTCAAAGACTTGATCATCGCTAACTCCATCCGCCTCAAGTTGATCGACTTGCCATGGCTGCCGGATCAGACACGGTCCCTCCTCAGCGCTGGTGGCATGGTAACGCGCCAGGACGTGGCTGAGATGAATTACCCACCAGCTTGGGATGAGTACATGGAGCAAGCTGGTGACGCAATCCCTGGTACTTTCGCAGCGGTGAAAGAGAGAATCAAGGAGCTGGCGAAGAACGTGTGAGGGCTAAATGTTCCAGACCTGCAAGGTACGATTTTGATGACAGTAGCCAGAGTAGGAGTGGGAGCCGTGCTGAGAAAAAAACATGCAGGAGCAAGCAATGGCTAAAGTTAATGAAGTCCTTTTTGGCGGATCGCGTTTTTCATGAGTTCTGACAGGTCATCGTTTCGGCACCTGCCTTTCTGGAAGCCGACGCCAAGATCACAGAGGCATTTGATGGTCAGGCCAGTCCGTTTTAGGATCCCTGCTTCACGTTGTCGTGATTTCCCAGGAGCCAGAATTTCATCGTCTGCTCCTCTCATTGGACATGATCTTGTTGTGGTCCCGCAAAATGGGGTTCTGAAATGTGCTGAAATGCCAGCTCAGCTCCTGATGTCAACGTGGCACGTCACATATGTCATGGGACGGAGGGGAGCAATCGAGTACACACCATCTTATTAACAATCAGAGACACAGCCCTTCATTGAAGGGAAGCCGTGGTTGCTACACTTTGGCCCCATACTGACTTGTTAAGCTTCCATGTGCTCAGTGAATTGTATTAATTGTATTGGACATGCTGGGCATTAACACGCGCACTTTAGGACTTGAGTGAGTTCAGGCACGATATAGCTGCCGTAAGCTAAATTTGCTCGGTCTCCAAATCCCGCTCCAGCAAATGCCGCGCAAAGATAATCCGCAAGTCCTCAGCTACAGAGCTTGGACCCACCCGAAACATTAAATCCCGCACCCTAAACCCCAAAGATCTGCAGTTCCCCCATGCTGCTCACCAAACATGACGGGCAAACCATGTTTTTCGTGCCATTGAGCAGGTGGCAAAACAAAACCATCTTTCTCGTGCATGCTGAAGCAGGGGCAAGCGAGGCGATGTTAGGTTTGACTGCATAACCAGAGGTCATACGCCATGACACTTTTTTGTTGGAAATAAATGTATGATGGGCCACAAAAAGGTGTAATCGTGGGCCCAGTAACACCTATGGTGGGAGCAAATGGATGCTAGTCTGGGCCCAAATAGGTGTTATAGTAGGAGTTACGCTGAGCTAAAGTTGATGTTTTGGTGGGACAAATACAAGTGGCATTACAGGCTGTTTGCAGGGTTCACAAAGCTGTAAAGAATTCCTGTTGGAGGCCACGCCTTATTCGAAGCCAATGCCACCTGTTCCGAGTTGTGGATTGCATGCAAGGCCGGCTGCTGTCAGATACCTTGCCCAGGTCAGATACATGTCCAACCTGCCCCAGTGCACATGCATTTGTGCGTAGCTTCCGCTGACATGGGCTCCTCGATCTGCGACATCATGCCAAGCCACACCTACCATGTCTCTGATGCCGCGCACAGCCTGTCTTCAAACAACTTCAGCTTGGCAGTGGTGTTGGCAGCTTGGTCTTGGTGGCGGTAGCGCTGGTAGTGCAGCTCAGCAGAGGTTGCATCAGCAGTCGTCATAGTGCTAGCGGGCTAACGTCCTCGTCGGATCGTTGAGCAGAGCAATTGCTCCGTACATGAGGGGTGCCCTGGTCAAGCCTGCCCATTGCAGGCACCCTTGCTGGGCTTCTGCGTTGCGTGCGCTGTTCGGATTGAAATCAAGTTTGACAAGGACCGCATGTCAAGCAAGATTTGTGCAAGCCAGTGCTGAATTTGACTCACAGAGAGCACCAAGTGGACCAATTCCTGTGTGAATCTGTGTGCTCTTAGCTCAAGCAAGGGCAGCGCATTCCAAACAGGGCATCCAATTTGCTGTCACAGGATTTTCGTTGCCATGGACAAGCGAATGCTGACACAAGTGCAGTTGCGCGAGATGGTCCAGGCGGTCAGGCCAGATTCCTTCTGCACCTTCATGAAGGAACCCATATTCATTATGCAGCTCACGAACGAGGATGCTGACAGCTTGGTGGAGAATGTCCGCTTGCAGCTCGGGGTGATCGACTCCACAAGCTACTCCGCACTCACGGACAGTGCCGCGATTGCCCTCCAGTTCACAGACGATGGGATGCCCGATTTCTATCCCATCCCAAAGGAGAAGTTCCCAAGCTACGAGATCCTGCCAGATGGAACTATCAGCTCAAAGGTCCACGCAACAGCAGACAACTTCAGGAACTTCTTCCAAGACAAGCCTCCCTCGAACGTACGAGAAGCTCGCAAGGTGGGAGAAGTCAAAATGGTGTCGACCTTGGCCTTGGGTGTGTCACCAGAACAGAGCTTCATCATTGAGTCACCTTGGGGGAGCACACAAACGAAGATGGCCAACCGCAATGCTTGGGTCGTTGTTTGTGGACCAGATGACAGTCCTGAGCTTTATTTGTGCAATGCAGCCCAGAGTGGTCTTCCTTTAGGCTACGTAGCTCCGTGACCACAAACTTCGGAGGCCTGCATCAGCAGACTGGATGGTCTTGTATCCAATCTGCTAGCCATATAGCAACCAAATGGAGCGTGCTGTTTGTGTGCATATGTCTTGGGCATGCCTGAGCTTCTGTTGTGATATGTTGGATGGTGTCTGGCTTTTGATTTTGATGAGAGCGCTTGTGCTGCACAATGTCACGGTTGTCCCCTGCATGCCAGGAGTGTTTGCTGGGCCGCTACTTTTGCCTCCAGCCTTTCCGGCCTGTTGTCATGCAGCAACATGTTCTTGCAGATTGAGAGCAGGACTGGGGTGCCATCAAGATATGATGCAGGTTGCTGTTTGACACGGATTCTAAGCAGTTTTCGCAGCGCTTTTGCCATTGTGAGAGCTGCACGAGGACTGGCCGAGAGTGCAGCGGATCACGTGCTTCAACTGTCCCAGGAGCCAGAATTTCATCGTCTGCTCCTCTCATTGGACATGATCTTGTTGTGGTCCCGCAAAATGGGGTTCTGAAATGTGCTGAAATGCCAGCTCAGCTCCTGATGTCAACGTGGCACGTCACATATGTCATGGGACGGAGGGGAGCAATCGAGTACACACCATCTTATTAACAATCAGAGACACAGCCCTTCATTGAAGGGAAGCCGTGGTTGCTACACTTTGGCCCCATACTGACTTGTTAAGCTTCCATGTGCTCAGTGAATTGTATTAATTGTATTGGACATGCTGGGCATTAACACGCGCACTTTAGGACTTGAGTGAGTTCAGGCACGATATAGCTGCCGTAAGCTAAATTTGCTCGGTCTCCAAATCCCGCTCCAGCAAATGCCGCGCAAAGATAATCCGCAAGTCCTCAGCTACAGAGCTTGGACCCACCCGAAACATTAAATCCCGCACCCTAAACCCCAAAGATCTGCAGTTCCCCCATGCTGCTCACCAAACATGACGGGCAAACCATGTTTTTCGTGCCATTGAGCAGGTGGCAAAACAAAACCATGTTTCTCGTGCATGCTGAAGCAGGGGCAAGCGAGGCGATGTTAGGTTTGACTGCATAACCAGAGGTCATACGCCATGACACTTTTTTGGGGGAAATAAATGTATGATGGGCCACAAAAAAGGTGTAATCGTGGGCCCAGTAACACCTATGGTGGGAGCAAATGGATGCTAGTCTGGGCCCAAATAGGTGTTATAGTAGGAGTTACGCTGAGCTAAAGTTGATGTTTTGGTGGGACAAATACAAGTGGCATTACAGGCTGTTTGCAGGGTTCACAAAGCTGTAAAGAATTCCTGTTGGAGGCCACGCCTTATTCGAAGCCAATGCCACCTGTTCCGAGTTGTGGATTGCATGCAAGGCCGGCTGCTGTCAGATACCTTGCCCAGGTCAGATACATGTCCAACCTGCCCCAGTGCACATGCATTTGTGCGTAGCTTCCGCTGACATGGGCTCCTCGATCTGCGACATCATGCCAAGCCACACCTACCATGTCTCTGATGCCGCGCACAGCCTGTCTTCAAACAACTTCAGCTTGGCAGTGGTGTTGGCAGCTTGGTCTTGGTGGCGGTAGCGCTGGTAGTGCAGCTCAGCAGAGGTTGCATCAGCAGTCGTCATAGTGCTAGCGGGCTAACGTCCTCGTCGGATCGTTGAGCAGAGCAATTGCTCCGTACATGAGGGGTGCCCTGGTCAAGCCTGCCCATTGCAGGCACCCTTGCTGGGCTTCTGCGTTGCGTGCGCTGTTCGGATTGAAATCAAGTTTGACAAGGACCGCATGTCAAGCAAGATTTGTGCAAGCCAGTGCTGAATTTGACTCACAGAGAGCACCAAGTGGACCAATTCCTGTGTGAATCTGTGTGCTCTTAGCTCAAGCAAGGGCAGCGCATTCCAAACAGGGCATCCAATTTGCTGTCACAGGATTTTCGTTGCCATGGACAAGCGAATGCTGACACAAGTGCAGTTGCGCGAGATGGTCCAGGCGGTCAGGCCAGATTCCTTCTGCACCTTCATGAAGGAACCCATATTCATTATGCAGCTCACGAACGAGGATGCTGACAGCTTGGTGGAGAATGTCCGCTTGCAGCTCGGGGTGATCGACTCCACAAGCTACTCCGCACTCACGGACAGTGCCGCGATTGCCCTCCAGTTCACAGACGATGGGATGCCCGATTTCTATCCCATCCCAAAGGAGAAGTTCCCAAGCTACGAGATCCTGCCAGATGGAACTATCAGCTCAAAGGTCCACGCAACAGCAGACAACTTCAGGAACTTCTTCCAAGACAAGCCTCCCTCGAACGTACGAGAAGCTCGCAAGGTGGGAGAAGTCAAAATGGTGTCGACCTTGGCCTTGGGTGTGTCACCAGAACAGAGCTTCATCATTGAGTCACCTTGGGGGAGCACACAAACGAAGATGGCCAACCGCAATGCTTGGGTCGTTGTTTGTGGACCAGATGACAGTCCTGAGCTTTATTTGTGCAATGCAGCCCAGAGTGGTCTTCCTTTAGGCTACGTAGCTCCGTGACCACAAACTTCGGAGGCCTGCATCAGCAGACTGGATGGTCTTGTATCCAATCTGCTAGCCATATAGCAACCAAATGGAGCGTGCTGTTTGTGTGCATATGTCTTGGGCATGCCTGAGCTTCTGTTGTGATATGTTGGATGGTGTCTGGCTTTTGATTTTGATGAGAGCGCTTGTGCTGCACAATGTCACGGTTGTCCCCTGCATGCCAGGAGTGTTTGCTGGGCCGCTACTTTTGCCTCCAGCCTTTCCGGCCTGTTGTCATGCAGCAACATGTTCTTGCAGATTGAGAGCAGGACTGGGGTGCCATCAAGATATGATGCAGGTTGCTGTTTGACACGGATTCTAAGCAGTTTTCGCAGCGCTTTTGCCATTGTGAGAGCTGCACGAGGACTGGCCGAGAGTGCAGCGGATCACGTGCTTCAACTGTCCCAGGAGCCAGAATTTCATCGTCTGCTCCTCTCATTGGACATGATCTTGTTGTGGTCCCGCAAAATGGGGTTCTGAAATGTGCTGAAATGCCAGCTCAGCTCCTGATGTCAACGTGGCACGTCACATATGTCATGGGACGGAGGGGAGCAATCGAGTACACACCATCTTATTAACAATCAGAGACACAGCCCTTCATTGAAGGGAAGCCGTGGTTGCTACACTTTGGCCCCATACTGACTTGTTAAGCTTCCATGTGCTCAGTGAATTGTATTAATTGTATTGGACATGCTGGGCATTAACACGCGCACTTTAGGACTTGAGTGAGTTCAGGCACGATATAGCTGCCGTAAGCTAAATTTGCTCGGTCTCCAAATCCCGCTCCAGCAAATGCCGCGCAAAGATAATCCGCAAGTCCTCAGCTACAGAGCTTGGACCCACCCGAAACATTAAATCCCGCACCCTAAACCCCAAAGATCTGCAGTTCCCCCATGCTGCTCACCAAACATGACGGGCAAACCATGTTTTTCGTGCCATTGAGCAGGTGGCAAAACAAAACCATGTTTCTCGTGCATGCTGAAGCAGGGGCAAGCGAGGCGATGTTAGGTTTGACTGCATAACCAGAGGTCATACGCCATGACACTTTTTTGGGGGAAATAAATGTATGATGGGCCACAAAAAGGTGTAATCGTGGGCCCAGTAACACCTATGGTGGGAGCAAATGGATGCTAGTCTGGGCCCAAATAGGTGTTATAGTAGGAGTTACGCTGAGCTAAAGTTGATGTTTTGGTGGGACAAATACAAGTGGCATTACAGGCTGTTTGCAGGGTTCACAAAGCTGTAAAGAATTCCTGTTGGAGGCCACGCCTTATTCGAAGCCAATGCCACCTGTTCCGAGTTGTGGATTGCATGCAAGGCCGGCTGCTGTCAGATACCTTGCCCAGGTCAGATACATGTCCAACCTGCCCCAGTGCACATGCATTTGTGCGTAGCTTCCGCTGACATGGGCTCCTCGATCTGCGACATCATGCCAAGCCACACCTACCATGTCTCTGATGCCGCGCACAGCCTGTCTTCAAACAACTTCAGCTTGGCAGTGGTGTTGGCAGCTTGGTCTTGGTGGCGGTAGCGCTGGTAGTGCAGCTCAGCAGAGGTTGCATCAGCAGTCGTCATAGTGCTAGCGGGCTAACGTCCTCGTCGGATCGTTGAGCAGAGCAATTGCTCCGTACATGAGGGGTGCCCTGGTCAAGCCTGCCCATTGCAGGCACCCTTGCTGGGCTTCTGCGTTGCGTGCGCTGTTCGGATTGAAATCAAGTTTGACAAGGACCGCATGTCAAGCAAGATTTGTGCAAGCCAGTGCTGAATTTGACTCACAGAGAGCACCAAGTGGACCAATTCCTGTGTGAATCTGTGTGCTCTTAGCTCAAGCAAGGGCAGCGCATTCCAAACAGGGCATCCAATTTGCTGTCACAGGATTTTCGTTGCCATGGACAAGCGAATGCTGACACAAGTGCAGTTGCGCGAGATGGTCCAGGCGGTCAGGCCAGATTCCTTCTGCACCTTCATGAAGGAACCCATATTCATTATGCAGCTCACGAACGAGGATGCTGACAGCTTGGTGGAGAATGTCCGCTTGCAGCTCGGGGTGATCGACTCCACAAGCTACTCCGCACTCACGGACAGTGCCGCGATTGCCCTCCAGTTCACAGACGATGGGATGCCCGATTTCTATCCCATCCCAAAGGAGAAGTTCCCAAGCTACGAGATCCTGCCAGATGGAACTATCAGCTCAAAGGTCCACGCAACAGCAGACAACTTCAGGAACTTCTTCCAAGACAAGCCTCCCTCGAACGTACGAGAAGCTCGCAAGGTGGGAGAAGTCAAAATGGTGTCGACCTTGGCCTTGGGTGTGTCACCAGAACAGAGCTTCATCATTGAGTCACCTTGGGGGAGCACACAAACGAAGATGGCCAACCGCAATGCTTGGGTCGTTGTTTGTGGACCAGATGACAGTCCTGAGCTTTATTTGTGCAATGCAGCCCAGAGTGGTCTTCCTTTAGGCTACGTAGC